AAGCTTTCGTGACTGCAGGGATTCATCTTCTTGGTTCTTTCGGTAAAGTCACGTAGAAGGGAAGTAATAAAATAATAAAAATAAAACATAATAAAACAATTCTCACGACGTTTCGGCCACAACGCAAGCAGATGTCCCCAGGCGAAGAATGAAACACCACCAAGCTTGGAGCGTATATTTAAGCTGGGTTAGAGGGGGGAGGTGGGAAGAAGAGCGCCTAAACAAAATAATTTGCATATCAAGAGGAATTCAGCATATGGAAAATGCGTAGGAGGTGGGCGGGGGGGGGGGGTTCCAAATCAATACTATGCCCGTGCATTATGCAGGATTAGCAGCATCAAAGGGGGGGGGAGGGGGGTAGCATTAACAAAGGAAAGGAATGTTAATAGTATGTAGCTGCAGTTACTAAACAACCACGTAAAAAACTAAAGTATAAACTGCATAACAAACTAAAGTATAAACTATACTTTAGTTTGTTATGCAGTTTATACTTTATAAACTATACTTTAGTTTGTTATGCAGTTTATACTTTAGTTTTTTACGTGGTTGTTTAGTAACTGCAGCTACATACTATTAACATTCCTTTCCTATTGTTAATGCTACCCCCTCCCCCCCCTTTGATGCTGCTAATCCTGCATAATGCACGGGCATAGTATTGATTTGGAACCCCCCCCGCCCACCTCCTACGCATTTTCCATATGCTGAATTCCTCTTGATATGCAAATTATTTTGTTTAGGCGCTCTTCTTCCCACCTCCCCCCCTCTAACCCAGCTTAAATATACGCTCCAAGCTTGGTGGTGTTTCATTCTTCGCCTGAGGACGGCTGCTTGCGTTGTGGCCGAAACGTCGTGAGAATTGTTTTATTATGTTTTATTTTTATTATTTTATTACTTCCCTTCTACGTGACTTTACCGAAAGAACCAAGAAGATGAATCCCTGCAGTCACGAAAGCTTTAAATCGAAATATAACAAGACATGTTTTACATCATTAGACCTCCTTTGCCAGTACCAAAATACAATAATAGAGGTTTCCCCCTTTTTTCTGGAAACAAAACTGAAACCTTAAAAAAAAGGTTTCAGTAAAAAAAAACCCTATAATTATATTTTGGTACTGGCAAAGGAGGTCTAATGATGTAGATGCTTACCCCAAGCCCTCATTACTTTGATAGTGCATTGTCTTTGAGCTGTGCGCCTTTTGGCGTCCTCTGGTCTAGCACCAATTGAGACGAGACTCAAAAGAAATCTGTCTCTGGTGTGGACCAATCAGTTTCAAGGACAATGCATTTATTATAAGAGTGTGTTTTTTTACACTATGGGGACCTCATTTGCCAGTAAAAATATGATAATTGGTTCTTTACCCTTCTATCTGGCAACAAAACTGACACCTTTTTACAAGAAGTCATGTTTGCATAGACCGCAATACCTGCAGTCATAAATACAAACAAAAGTCATAAATACAAACAAAAGACAAAGGTGTCAGTTTTGTTGCCAGATAGAAGAGTAAAGAACCAATTATCAGTGTGTTTTTTTTTGCATTTCGACCACAAGTATTGTGGTTAATGCACACATGATTCCTCGTAAATAAAAGTTTCAGTTTTATTGCCAGAAAAAAGGGGAAAAACCCCGATTACTATTAAGCCATTTGCTGTTAGTCCACTGCTGCATGAAGGCCCCCTCCACGCCGTATGGGTTGTGGCGGGTTGTTAGAACATACTTCACCACGCCGGTCAGTGCCGTTGTTGAAAGGTGGGAATGCGGGACTGGGCCCGGCTCAGATATCACGCACCACTGATGTTAGGGGCCGTCCATAAATGACGTCACGCACCTGCTGGGGGAGGGGGGGGTCAGACATTTGTGACTATGTGTGACGATGGGGGAGGAGGGTTTGAAAAATGTGACGTCACATCAAAATGCGCAACTTTAAACAAATATAGACAACACGTTCTACTTAAATAAATAGACGTTTAAAGAAATCATCAGAGTGCAGCGCCACATTAAATACGCACTACATTGACAACAGTTTAAAGCGATTTGAAGCATGTTTTATTTATTTTGGGGGGGGGGGGGGCAGAGCTTTGTGACATCATATTTGAGGGGGGGGTATGACTTTTTGCGACGCCGTGTGACGAAGAGGGGGGGGGGGTCAAAAATCGTCCAAAATCGCGTGACGTCATTTATGGACGGCGCCTTAGCCGTGGCTAGCAAGGAATCGTGCTAACCACTGCACTACCGCTCCCTGTACAAGGGTCAGCTGAATGAGAATTATTTGATAATGCACCATTATGAATACAATTATAATTAGGCATAAGTTGGAGCTCGGCTGATAAAACCGTGACTGTAAACACGTGATACTGGCAGAAATGTATCCCATGATAGAAGCTGTTCACCCTGAGCTATATGAAATGCTCTGACACGTGCATTGTCTTTGTGCTACTCTTTGGTTCTTTAGGAAAAGTCGCGTGGGTGTAAAATAAAATAAATCACGACGTTTCGGGCGCAACACAAGCGTCCATCATCAGGTGATACGCTTGTGTTGCGCCCGAAACGTCGTGATTTATTTTATTTTCTACCTACGTGACTTTAGTGAAAGAACCAAAGAGTATGGATTCTGGCAGTCACGAAAGCTTCAAATCAAGATTGTCTTTGTATGTTTCGCCTTTTGGCGTTAGTCTCTGGCCTGACATTGTGAGACTAGGCCATGAAGAAGGCTGTCTTTGGTGTAGGCCAATCAGTTTCAAAGTCAATGCATCATACATTATGAGAGCATCATGAGAGCTCCCTTGCAGTATTTAATTATGATAATAGGGTTTTCCCCTTTCTGGCAATACTAAAACAGGTAGAATGGAAATAATAAAATAATAAAAATAAAACATAATAAAATAATTCTCACGACGTTTCGGCCACAACGCAAGCAGCCGTCCTCAGGTGAAGACCAGGTCTGTCGAGAAGACAGAGTCTGAATTGCGTTGTGGCCGAAACGTCGTGAGAATTATTTTATTATGTTTTATTTTTATTATTTTATTATTTCCATTCTACGTGACTTTACCGAAAGAACCAAGAAGATGACAATGCCACTCTCAGGACATACCGTCAGAGCATGATGTGTTGCGATCCACGCGGCACATTTGACCACTGGGTAGTCCGACGTTTCGCTAGTAACTGCAGCCAGCATCATCAGGTCGTTGCCAGAGATCATATTTGTGGCAACATTTATTTATCCACTTACCATGTTTTGGTCTTTAAATCACCCGAGTCTGCGCCTTCAGACGATTACATTGTTTCGGATTAAATAACGAGAGTAGACAAGCAAAGATAAATAAGACTCATTGTTTGGTGATGCAACGTTGGCAGTGGTAGAAAAGTACAAACAATAACAAAAAAACTCAGCACATTAGTCAATAACAACAACAACAACAACACTGCGCTGCCTTCAAAAAGGGAAACAAATATAGAAAGGCGACGTTCCGGGTAATGGCCCTTCACAGCAAATGTATTTTACCATGATTTAACAGGACCCTGCGGGGTGGGCTGGTAGGAATAATACTTAGTACCAGTACAGAGATATCGACCGGGTATAGAGGAGTTAAAGAAAAAATTACTGTATTCTAGTGTAACGTTAATTAAAAGTGTTTGTTTTGACAAGAAACGCTGTTAGATTTAAAGACTCGTAGTCTTTCATTTCCAACACCACCCTCAACACCACCCCTCCCACGGACGGACGGACGGACGGACGGACACATTAATCTATTGGTGGTCTGGTCCACTTCGTTCCTACCAGTATAATTGTGCTATGAACAAGGGACATTACCCGAAACGTCGATTATTATAGTAGTAATTTATATTTTTATTTACCTCATGGCTGTAACTTTTTTTGCCGTTATGGGGCCGTCCATAAATGACGTCACGCGATTTTGAACGATTTTTGACCCCCCCCCCCCTTTGTCACACGACGTCACAAAAAGTCAGATTCCCCCCCCCTCAAATATGACGTCACAAAGCTCTGCCCCCCCCCCCCAAAAAAAATAAAAATGCTTCAAATCGCTTTAAACTATTGTTATTGTAGTGCGTATTTAATGTGGCGCTGCACTCTGATGTTGTAGGAGAAAACATTTGTTAAAAAGTCTATTTAATTAAGTAGAACGTGTTGTCTATATTTATTTAAAATTGCGCATTTTGATGTGACGTCACATTTCTCACCCCCCCCCTCGTCACACATCACCCCCAGGTGCGTGACGTCATTTATGGACGGCCCCTATGATGCCCCCGGTCACTCTGTCAACGATACTCTATCCTGCTCTCTTGAGTTCTCAGCTGCTTAAAGATTTTTTAAAAAAATCAAACGTTTAATATCAAACTAATTCGAACATTAAACAGATTAAAATTCCCGCCAATTTCGTTCCCCCCCCGCCCGCTACGCCCCCACCCCCCTCAACACCCTCTCCCATTATTAGATAACGTTGACGCTATAAATGTCCACAATGACAAGCCACTTTGTTCAGCTATCATTTGTTGCCAACTCGCTTCTGAAAAAGAAGCTAATAGCTGGTGACGTAACCATTTTTTAGTTTTACATATTAATATTTCATGTTATTCATTTACATTTCCTGTATTTTACACTCCGTGTTTTTTCTACTGTTTGTCGTTGCAAGGTTCTGAGCCCGTGCTCCGACTGGACATCTGTGAAAAAAGAGCTTTATAGCTGATCGGATTTCCCCTGCAGTATAAATGTATCTGATTCTGACCCCCCTCCACACCCCTCCCCATCTACTGGACATCCGTGAGAAAAACACAAGTTTTATAGCTCATCGGATTCCTGCCCCCCGCCACACCCTCCCCTCATCAATTAAACATCTGTCTAAAAGATGAGCTTTATAGATCATCGGATTCCTCCTCCCAGGATTAAGCAATCTGATGTAATAACCCCGACGCAACATGGCGGACGGAGGCCATCTTTGTCAGGGAGCATGGGGTGTGGAGCCGGAAGTGACGTCGCCCGGCACGCCGCTACTTCCGGGAGACATCGGCGGGCATGACGGCGATGGCGGACACTGAGGATGGCCGCTGCTGCCAGGCAGAGGAGGACGAGGAGGAGGATGGGGACGGCATGGAGCTCGACCCGGGCGGCGACGGCGACGACGACGACGACGATACCAGCCCGGAGCCCATCGCGGACCCCGAGGACGACAGCAGGTGCCTCGCGAGCGGCAGCGGCGGGGAAGCGACGGGCGATGCGGGATTTTTTTCGCTGGCGGGTTTTGGGGGGGTAGACGATTGGGGAAGAGGCGTGGGGGGCCTGGCGGGGGGGGGGGGGTATTTGGCGTTGAGGTCCTCGATGATTTTGGGGGGCTCTGTGGCGTCCTCCTCGCTTGTTCCCGCGGTCCCCTCAGACTCGTGGCGTTACTGGGGTCGTTCGGTTGGCCGTGTCGGTTTTTTTGTGGGGTGGTTATTTGGTTTGTCGGTAGCCTCGTGGTTCCCCTTTAGTCCGGCGGGTTTCTTGGGGTCCATGGCATCCCTTTCGTTTTGGGGTCGAGGGGGTTTATTTTGGGGGTGGGTTCGCAGTCCCCTCAGCATTTATCAGTGTGGGAGTTCACGTAGTCTTGGGGCCTCGGGCTTCTAGAAGTTTCCTTGCTGTTTGGGTGACAGGGTCCTCGTGTTTTGGGGGTTCTTTGAGTATCGGGGTCTTTGAGATCCCCGTGGTTTTGCTGGTAGTGATTTGTGTGGTGAGTATAGTGACGTGTGCTGGTAATGGTGGACTTGACATGTGGCGTTGACGGTGGTTTACAGTGGCGATGCGCCTGGCGGTGGTGATAACGTGATGTGTGATGTTGGTGATTTTATGGCAGTCGTGGCTAGTGATGTGTGTGGTGATTGGTGGTGATGTGTAGTTGTGATGGTGATGTGTGTGGTGATTGATGGTAATGTGTAGTTGTGATAGTGATGTGTGGCTTGGTGGTGCATACACTGCCAACACCATTGAGAATCAGCATCATTACCAATCCCACTGTAGAAGGCCGTATTCACCATCAGCACCATTATCAGCACCATTAATACCATGCACATCACCACGACCATGAATACAGACTACAGTATCATCACCCTACTGTCACAAACATTCTCTACCACTCTCATCAGCACCAATATCGTCATCGCCACCACTATCATCTTCACCGCCATCACCATCGCCGTACTTTCACAGACACTAACATCGTTCCGACAAATACCCTTTCTGTAAAGATGCACCCTACATTTCACAAACGGCTCATTTCTTTTGGGTAGATACCCGGTGAGTAACGTCCTAAAAGTGGAAATGGTGGACTTGATGTGTGGCGGCGGTGGTGGTGGCGTATAGTGGTGATGCGTCTGGCAGTGGTGATAACGTGATGTTGGTGATTTTATGACAGTCGTGGCTAGTGATGTGTGGTTGTGATGGTGATGTGTGGCTTGGTGGTGCATACACTGCCAACACCATTGAGGATCAGCATCAGCACCAATGCCACCATATAGGCCGTATTCACCATCAGCACCATTATCAGCACCATTGATACCATGAACATCACCACCACTACCATCAACACAATGAACATCACGACCACTACCAGGAATACAGACCACAGTATCATCGCCATATTATTACAATCATTGCCACCACCCTCATCAGCACCACTATCACCATCACCACTATCGCTTTACTTTCACAAACACCATCATTGTTACGATAAATACCCTTTCGATAAGGATGCACCCTACATTTAAAATAAACGGTCTGTAACGCCCTAAAGGTAGAAATAACAAATGTTGACCATGGAACAGGGTCCGGTTTTTGAAATGGCTTCTTTTAGATTGAAATAGGCCAGCAAAAAAAGATGAAACGTAAAAAAAGAAAAACCTATGTTATTTAAAACCCAATCTCACGCACTTTAATATTTAACTTTTAGCTTATTCATTTTGAATTTGATTCTGCTGGGGTTTTTGAATTTGATTCTTTCACATCCTGAGGGTCTTTCAATTTGTCATTGTATCCTTCCAATGCTCTTTGAATTTGCCACTGCGACTTGGCTAGTTTGTACCTGTCAGGGTCTTTTCATTCACCACTTCAATCTTTGCACACATTTTAATTATAATTTTTGATTACTATATTTGTTTACCCAGGAAAGCCTCAATTCTTTTTCAGGAAGGTCCTGCTAAGAGGGTGACGATTACTGCTATGTGTTTCCAAATTGAGTAATTTGCTAGTAATTTTTCAAATTTGGAAAAAAATATTCGTTATCGCTGGCACACAATGGCCTGCTCTTCCTAGAATGACTTCACGGGGATCTTCAACATCCGCTCTGAAGGCAGACTGCATGGCATATTTTTAAAATTAATACGCACCGCAGTATTAACCAGGCTGGCCGTGGGTTCGAGCCGCAAACCTTCAAAAGCAAGTGAGACCTCACTACCACTGGGCCATGTCACCACCGCTGATTGAATCAGAAGGCACACTTTCAAACGAAAGGTTAATTTAATCTTTACTTTGTGACACTCCCATCTCTCACTTGTGTGTCCTGGGTCGTCTGGCACGTGATAATATAAAAACAATATTTTACAATCAGTCAGGAGTGCCGCAGTGACGTCCATGTAGCCTCACTCCTATACTTTTAAATAATTTAAAATGTTCTCTCTATTTTTATTGAATTTGTACCAGCGGCTTCCTCGTGCCACAAGTCGATGTGTGTGCATTCATCGCTCGCGCAAAGTGATGAGCCATTTGTGGTGACCAGGTCGCTTTTGAAAAATGACTTAATAGCTCAGTGGGCCTCGTCTGGTAGTTTGGGGGGATGGTTTAGTGTTGTGTTTGTGTGTGTTGGGTGATTTGTTTACCTCTTGTACTGTGCACTCCTATCGTTCGTGTTTGTGTACTGTTGGTTGTTGTCACGTGTTTAACCCCGTGGCCCCTACTGGACATCTGTGACAAAAGAGCTTTATAGCTCATCGGATTCCTCCTGCAGTATACATGCATATGCTGATTCTGTAAGAGAAGGGCTCACAGAAGCAGATGTCGTGGAATTGTTCTTGAAAGCCATTAAAGTGAACTATTTTTATCCACACACTGGGGGGGGGTGGGAGGGTGGAGGCCTGGGTGCACTTCCCACAACCCCTGCTAGGAATAAATGTTCATCTCGTGGCATTTAGGTATTTAAAAATGCCTCTGCTGGAATCTTTTTTTTCTACCAAATTAAGTTAAAAAGATAATTTTGAAGAATGTTATTTTTTTGTAGATTTTTGGCTTGGGTCACGTAATAGTTGGGATCAACATTGCGTGGTGGAAACCCTCCACCACACAACACAGCCAAACAAGCAAAAATGCGATGCATGCCAGCGCTTAACCGTGCGCCGATCATTATTGTTCGGCCCACTCACCGGTGAGTTGTAGAACAATTTTCACATTAAAATTTAGCTCCATTAGATATGCGACATTTAGTTTGCAACCACGTAAAGCATCATCGGGATAGGATCGAGAGTGTGATAAATTAATGTAAATTTTTTGCGCGATTATTGTTAATCATCAACGCGCAACACTCAAACCTGGTTTACTCGCAACTCGGTCTATGTGAGTCTGTGGGTCTCTGTGCGTGTCAGTGAGTCTCTGTGTAAGTCGTCGGTGAATGGGCTGTGACCATCATCTCACTACACTCAAGAACCCGGTGTAATCACGGGCAGCAGAAGCCGCCAGGCTTTCAATCCAGCAGCTCGGTGGTGCTCACTCCGTGGCCTCTGACCTCTGATCCACCTGGCCACCTCCACTCGCATGGTCGTGTGGTGTTTTTTTTTGTAACGCACCGCCCGTGCTCGCTGCAGTGATGTCGCGGGAGTGACACGGTGCCAGCGGTCCCGGCGGTCCCAGCGGTCGCTGTCGCCGCTGAGGTTTCGCGGCCCCCCCTGGTTATTACTGCATTTGTATTTATAGTAAAAATAAAAAAATCGTGCGCCATCTGGTTCGCAGCAAACGTCGAAGATCCTTTCAACGTCATTCGAAACGAGCAGGCCATTGAGTGCCGGCGTCATGGTCGATAGTTGCCAAAGTAATGACACGGTCACTGAGGTTTGTGGTCTTCAAGTTTGGGTGATTCCGTAGCCAGTCTCGTTATGAAAGTATTTTTATTTTTCTCATTTTGCTAAATCGCACCGCTCTTGCTCAAATGAACGTGGACCAGAGGCTCACCTCTGTTGGCAGCTCTGAGGCAGTGGTGGGCATTGCACATTCCCATGGGGGGGACAAGTGCATCCATTTGCTGTCCGCCGCTGGTGTTGACCTCCCTTGACCTTTCGTGAGGTGACAATATATTACCTTAGTTGGCCAGCAAGGGGGAATCTGACTTTTACAAATGCTCCCAAATAAAGCCATGCTAAGAGTTGCCACATCACATCCTAGCCCTTCCACCACCAACACAGCAAGAGCTGTGAGCACTACCACCACTATAACCACAGCCACTACTACTGCCATCTTCACCACATGAACACATTCACAACATGAAGACAACCACAACACCGCTGCTGCTCTGACTACCACCACCACCAATTCCACCACAGCCACTATTACTACCATACCCATCACCACAACACCATGACTTCAACCATCAACACAGCCACAGTTAATACTGCAATTACATAGATAACCACCACCAATGCAAGGACAGCTATGACTGCTACAACTACCTCCGCCGCCACTACCAACGCAACAGCCATGCATGTCACCATCACCGCCACCACAACGCTGCCACCACTCATTGCCACTACAACCACGACCAACATCAACTAACATCCTACCACAACTGCTCCCACCACAACAGCCAGTATAAAACCACAGTCACCACCGCATGAACAATCACCAATGTTGCCACAAGAAACACAAAGCACCAAAACACCACTACCACAACCGCCACCACAACCACCGTGACAGCAACGCAAACCACTGCGACTCAAATCCCCAGCAACCAAAACTCGCACCACAACAACCACCGTGACTAAGAGCAGCAGCAGCAGTTGCCACTAACGCAGCGCAACCACAAAGCACAGCCACTGCTGATCTTCCACAAAGTAGTCACCATTTTATCCATTATCAAGGGACGGTGGTGGCGGTTGGAGCGTAGCGGCGCGAAGTGCGGTGTGGGATCGGCGCTTGATGCCTTGAATGATGCGCCGGGTTGCGGCAGGCATTTGGCCGGAGCCACGTTTGTAGTTTTGTGGAATTTATTTTTAATTCATGGCTCTCGTGCCCCCACGATGATGATGCTTCTGCTGCTGATGATTGATAACTTTAAACACTCGAGCCTACGGAGCATTTACCCTCTCAACGGATATACAAAAGACCGTGGAAACTGCAGTAGTAGAACCAAGAAACGTTCACTCAGGGAAATATAGATTGGCCACAGATTTCGAAATGTGTGAACGAACAAGTTCACAGTGATAGGAACTATAGTCCATGGCAAAGTAATATAACTTCATTACGACAACGGTTGACATCATTGGTAACTCAATGTTGTGTGTTGGTAAGGCACGTGTTCCATGTTGTGTATGTTGGTAAGCCACGTGTTCCATGTTGTGTGTGTTGGTAAGGCACGTGTTCCATGTTGTGTGTGTTGATAAGGCACGTGTTCCATGTTGTGCATGAGTGTTTTATGTGTGTAAGGCACGTATGCCGCGTGTATCAGTGTTGTTTGTGTGACTAAGGCACATGTTCCATGTTGTGCATGAGTGTGTTGGTAAGGAATGTGTTCCATGTTGTGTATGAGTGTTGGTAAGCCACGTGTTCCATGTTGTGTATGAGTGTGTTGGTAAGCCACGTGTTCCATGTTGTGTATGAGTGTGTTGGTAAGCCACGTGTTCCATGTTGTGTATGAGTGTGTTGGTAAGGCACTTGTTCCATGTTGTGTTTGAGTGTTGGTAAGGAATGTGTTCCATGTTGTGTATTCGTGTGTTTTCTGTTAGCAAGGCACGTATGCCGCGTGTATCAGTGTTGTGTGTGTGACTAATGCACATGTTGCATGTTGTGTATGAGTGTGTTGGTAAGGAATGTGTTCCATGTGTATTCGTGTGTTTTCTGTTAGCAAGGCACGTATGCCGCGTGTATCAGTGCTGTGTGTGACTAAGGCACATGTTCCATGTTGTTTATGAGTGTGTGTTTTGTTAGTAAGTCACGTTTCACGTTGCTTACCTCTGTCACTGTAACCTGCCGCTGATGTTCCCTGCGCACATTCAAAATCTCGCCTGCACGGTATCCACGCCGCAGCCTGTATTGTTTGAACGAGGGAGGGGGGTGACTCGTGTATTAAGAACCCCTGAGCTTGGAGTGAGCCAATGAGGTGAGATCATGGCTGGGAGGGTGATGTTGGTGGCGTTGGGCGGCAATGGCCGGGTGACGCATGCGTTGTGCCTCTTGGCAAGCCGCCTCTTTCCCACCGCGCCAACTCGCTGCGCTCTCCCCGTGCGATACTGACGCCGTGCCCTTATGGTATTGGTCCCCAAACACATCGGGGTTTTTTCCACGGCCAATGTTACGGTTCGTTTATACGTATTTTCTTGAGAAAATTGATCAATTTGTTGGTATCGCGTTAAGATCAGTTTTTTTCCCTGTGTTGGTTTTACTCGGATTTAAAGAAGCCGGGTTCAGGTGACGCGGTTATTCTGACTTTCCTGGCTTCTGACCCAAAGATGCTTGACGCAGTTTCAGGGGGAAGCTTTATATGTCTTATTGAGCGAACGTAGGTAGTTGAGAATTATATTCTTGGTTCTTTCGGTAAAGTCACGTAGAAGAGAAAGAATAAAATAATAGAAACAAAACATAATACAATTCTCAGGACGTTGTCTTTCCGACGGCTCTGTTCTTCACCTAAGGACGGCTGCTTGCGTTGTGGCCGAAACGTCGTGAGAATTTTATTATGTTTTATTTTTATTATTTCCCTTCTACATGACTTTACCGAAAGAACCAAGAATATGAATCCCTGCAGTCACGAAAGCTTTAAATCGAAATTTAGTTGAGAATTGTTCTTTCAATTCACCGGTAGGTCGAGCTGAAACAATGGTAACTTGTGCGTCCGTTCAACGCTTGTACTTTGTCACAATTTAATTTGTTTGGCTGAGTCAGGTGGTTATGAAAAGGCATTACAAGTCTGTCCTGGCCTTAAACACGTCCCTCCCCCCTGCCCCACTGCTCAATTCACGATGATGCCTGTTGAGGGCAAGGCTACTTGAGTACTGGGTTTGGACTGCCTGAGTAGTGGGTGGGGCTACCTAAGTAGGAGCTGGTAAACACGTGGTGTTTACCCTTTTACTGATTGTCGTTGGATGTCACCGTGGTGTCCGTGTGTGTGTGTGGGGGGGGAGCGGTGGTTAGTGCATTGTGCTATCATCCCTACTTAAATTCCCGCTGGCGACCAAATGGCGATGGCGATTATTTGAGCCAGTCCTGGGCATCCTCTATGTTGACTCGGCCTTAATTGAGGACCTATGCACGGTGTGTAAACATCAGCACTGGGGAGACGAGGGGGGCTGGGTGTGGTGTTGGCGACCCACCCCCTCGTGTGCCGTTCCGGCCTTCATAGATGCTTGCTAGCAACACCACTTGATCCGAGGATCTGGTGAAGGCTACTTGGGGGATCTTGATCTGTTGTGTGTGTGTGTGCGTTGTATTGAAAACCCACAGAAACGCGGAGTTCAACAAGGAAAAAGGCAACGAATATTACATCAAGAAACACTACAACGAGGCCTACAACTACTACACCAAGGCGATCGGTGAGCACAGATCTCGCGTCATCGCACGAGTCATCTCACACCTGGCCTCATCTCAAACCTCGCCTCATCTCAAACCTGGCGTCATCTCAAACCTCACCTCATCTTACACCTGGCCTCATCTCAAACCTGGCGTCATCTCAAACCTGGCGTCATCTCAAACCTGGCGTCATCTCAAACCTGGCCTCATCTCAAACCTCGCCTCATCTTAAACCTCACCTCATCTCAAACCTGGCCTCATCTCAAACCTGGCGTCATCTCAAACCTCGCCTCATCTCAAACCTCGCCTCATCTCAAACCTGGCCTCATCTCAAACCTCGCCTCATCTCAAACCTGGCGTCATCTCAAACCTCACCTCATCTTACACCTGGCCTCATCTCAAACCTGGCGTCATCTCAAACCTCACCTCATCTTACACCTGGCCTCATCTCAAACCTGGCCTCATCTCAAACCTGGCCTCATCTCAAACCTGGCGTCATCTCAAACCTGGCCTCATCTCAAACCTCGCCTCATCTCAAACCTGGCCTCATCTCAAACCTCGCCTCATCTCAAACCTGGCCTCATCTCAAACCTCGCCTCATCTCAAACCTGGCGTCATCTCAAACCTGGCCTCATCTCAAACCTCGCCTCATCTCAAACCTGGCCTCATCTCAAACCTGGCCTCATCTCAAACCTGGCCTCATCTCAAACCTCGCCTCATCTCAAACCTCGCCTCATCTCAAACCTCGCCTCATCTCAAACCTGGCGTCATCTCAAACCTGGCCTCATCTCAAACCTCGCCTCATCTCAAACCTCGCCTCATCTTACACCTGGCCTCATCTCAAACCTGGCGTCATCTCAAACCTGGCCTCATCTCAAACCTGGCCTCATCTCAAACCTGGCGTCATCTCAAACCTGGCGTCATCTCAAACCTCACCTCATCTTACACCTGGCCTCATCTCAAACCTGGCCTCATCTCAAACCTGGCCTCATCTCAAACCTGGCGTCATCTCAAACCTGGCCTCATCTCAAACCTCGCCTCATCTCAAACCTGGCCTCATCTCAAACCTCGCCTCATCTCAAACCTGGCCTCATCTCAAACCTCGCCTCATCTCAAACCTGGCGTCATCTCAAACCTGGCCTCATCTCAAACCTCGCCTCATCTCAAACCTGGCCTCATCTCAAACCTCGCCTCATCTCAAACCTGGCCTCATCTCAAACCTGGCCTCATCTCAAACCTGGCCTCATCTCAAACCTGGCGTCATCTCAAACCTGGCCTCATCTCAAACCTCGCCTCATCTCAAACCTGGCCTCATCTCAAACCTCGCCTCATCTCAAACCTGGCCTCATCTCAAACCTCGCCTCATCTCAAACCTGGCGTCATCTCAAACCTGGCGTCATCTCAAACCTCGCCTCATCTCAAACCTGGCCTCATCTCAAACCTCGCCTCATCTCAAACCTGGCCTCATCTCAAACCTCGCCTCATCTCAAACCTGGCCTCATCTCAAACCTCGCCTCATCTCAAACCTGGCGTCATCTCAAACCTGGCCTCATCTCAAACCTCGCCTCATCTCAAACCTCGCCTCATCTTACACCTGGCCTCATCTCAAACCTGGCGTCATCTCAAACCTGGCCTCATCTCAAACCTGGCCTCATCTCAAACCTGGCCTCATCTCAAACCTGGCGTCATCTCAAACCTCACCTCATCTCAAACCTCGCCTCATCTCAAACCTCGCGTCATCGTGAACCTCCATTCGTGACTCGCTGCAGGAACTATGTGCACGTTATAATCAAACGATGAGCACATTTGGTGTTGGCGCTATCATTCTTACGGCGTTGCAAGGCGATCGTCACGAAGGAGAAGGTGCTGCTGTGTCACACCAGGGGGCGGTGTCGCTGCTGCCTCTGCTTGTGTGTGATCATAACTGAGTAATTTGCAGGAACATTTTCAGCGTTGGAATGTTTTGGCCAATATCATCTGCATCGTGTGTGGGTTTATTTTAGCTATGGGAGGATATTGGAACACCTGGAGATCCGAGTTTGATTCGTGCTCACGGCTAACAGTCATAGAATCTCTGAGCCGGTCCCAGGCCTCCCCTAGGCCGACTCAGTCTTCCATGAGACATGTACAGTCTGCAGTGGTTTCACACTAAGGTTAAGTCGAAGGATTTGCGTTTAAATGCCAAAGCATCTCGAAATCGCCTTCCATCACAACTCATCGCCTCTTGTCATGCCGGCGCTGTAGTTTAATTATTCTTGTTTCTTTGCCTAGGGAGCCGCCTCGTGTCAGCTGCCCCTGTGCAGCACAGCTGACGCAGCACCGGCCTCCAAGTTGGCATGAATCTGTCACCTTTAAGTTCTTCCGACGATCGTTTCAACCGACGTGATCGCTTTCTCCTCTCTGACCAATACCTCCCCCCCCCCCCCCCCCGGCCATTCCTCCCCCCTCCTCCCCCCTCCATTGCGGTCCCCAGAGTTGTGTCCATCAAATGCCAGCTACTACGGCAACCGCTCAGCGACGCTCATGATGCTGTCGCGCTACCGTGAGGCGCTCGAGGACTCCCAGAAGGCCGTGCGGCTCGACGACACATTCGTGAAGGTAGTGGCACGTTCAGGGGTTGGATCGGGGGTGCTAGGTCAGGGGTCAGGGGTGTGAGGGGTGAGGCATAATGGCTATGGGTTATGGTAAGGGGGTGAGGTGAGAGGTTAGGGGGGGAACAGAAGGGGCTAAAGTTTGTGGATTCAGTTTAGAGTCATCAGTAGTACAGGCAAGGGTTATGTATAGGATTATAGTTGGGGTTAGGAGCTCGGGATATTGATGGTTAGGGAGTAGGATGAGATTTGTGGTTAAGGTTAGGAGTTTGGTGTTTTGGGTTAGGGTGACGAGTTTTGAATAGGCATCTGGATTACTGGCGAGGGATAAGGGTCGGTGTTTGAAGATATGTTTAGGGGTTAGGATGACTGGCTTAGGTTAGGAGTTGGGTCTGCTGGTTATGGTTATGGGAAAGGGATCGGGGTTAGGGTTATGGATAGGCTTTGTGTATGTTCAATGCGTATGTGTATCACGTACGTCTGTGTGTACATGTGCATGAATATGGCCGACGCCAGTGGCAAATATCTGAATCGGTCCTGGGCCTCCCCTAGGTTTACTGAGCCTCAAATGAGTAGCTGGTGCGGTGTGTAAACATCGCCACTAGGCATCGCCACAAAGACGGCCGTGCGTGGTGCTGGACCCAGCCACCCCTTTAGTGTGCTGTGCCGACCTTCATAAGTGATGCTCGTGAACAGCAATCGCCCCACAAAGTCTGTGAAGGCTATGCGGGGGATCTTTGTCTTTGAATACCAGTTTGTGTGTGTGTCCTCTCCCCTCAGGGTCACCTCAGGGAAGGGAAGTGCCACGTGGCGCTGGGATCGTCAAATGCATCCGTGCGGTGCTTCCAGAAGGTTTTGGAATTGGAGCCCACCAACAAGCAGGCGGAGCAAGAGGTTTGACAAACACCACACACTCACACGCAAGCACACGCACACACGCACACACGCAAGCACACGCACACACGCAAGCACACTCACACACGCAAGCACACTCACACACGCAAGCACACACGCACACATGCACACACACTCGCACGTACATATACGCATTCAAGCACACACGCACTCACGCGCACACACACGCATACACACGCGCATGCACACAAGCACACACGTGCGCACACACAGGCGCGCACATACACAGGCATGCACGCACATTCGCACACACGCACTTGCATGCAGTTACACACCCACTCACGCACTCACTCACACACTCACACATGCACACGCACACACACGACCCCATTGTGCATTTGACGTTGAGACAGACCCAGGTGCTATGGGATAACTGGCCGAGTAGAGCCAGACCTTCTCCCAACTACACACTTTACTCACACGTTCATAAATGACTCCTCCACTCACACATTCACTTTAACCCACCCACTCAGCAACCCACCCACTCGGCAACCCACCCACTCGGCAACCCACCCACTCAGCAACCCACCCACTCGGCAACGCACCCACTCAGCAACCACCACTCGGCAACCCACCCACTCGGCAACCCACCCACTCGGCAACCCACCCACTCGGCAACCCACCCACTCGGCAACCCACCCACTCGGCAACCCACCCACTCGGCAACCCACCCACTCGGCAACCCACCCACTCGGCAACCCACCCACTCGGCAACGCACCCACTCAGCAACCCACTCACTCAGCAACCCACTCACTCAGCAACCCACCCACTCAGCAACCCACTCACTCAGCAACCCACCCACTCAGCAACCCACTTACTCAGCAACCCACCCACTCGGCAACCCACCCACTCGGCAACCCACCCACTCGGCAACCCACTCACTCAGCAACCCACTCACTCAGCAACCCACTCACTCAGCAACCCACTTACTCGGCAACCCACCCACTCGGCAAACCACCCACTCGGCAACTCACCCACTCGGCAACCCACCCACTCGGCAACCCACCCACTCGGCAACCCACCCACTCGGCAACCCATCCACTCGGCAACCCACTTAACCTATTGGGGATGTTTTTCAGCAGCGGGGATGTTTTGTGTGTTTGTTTAGCTATGGAAGGAAACTGGGACAAGAGCCACGTGAAACAGGGGGGGGATCATAAACTCCGCACAGACACACACCATCACACACTCACACTGTAGAAACATGGGAGATTATGAACTCCACACACACACACACACCATCACACACTCGCACTCTGCAGAACAGGAGAGATCGTAAAAACTCCGCACACACATGCACACATCATCACACACCATCACACACTCGCACTCTTCAGGTCAGGGAGATCATATAAACTCCACACACACCATCGCACACCATCACGCTCTGCAGAACAGGGAAGATCATGCAAACTCAATACTCGCACACACACGCACACACCATCACACACTCGCACTCTTCAGACCAGGGAGATAATATATACTTCACACACACCATCACACACTCGCACTCTTCAGGTCAGGGAGATCATATAAACTCCACACACACCATCGCACACCATCACACTCTGCAGAACAGGGAAGATCATGCAAACTCCATACTCGCGCACACCAACACACACCATCACACACCGATGTGACGAGTGGGGGTGACGCGCGATGTGACGTGTGGGGGTGACGCGCGATGTGACGCGGGAGCTATAATTAGCGAGTACCGGTGTCGGCACCCCGTGCTCGGCACGCTGGCACCTGTTCGGCAGAGAGCACAGCACGCAGGTTGATTGACGGCACAGCAAGTTGGCTGGATACTAGCACAGCAAGTTGGTTAGTTGATAGTGCAGCAAGTAGGTTGGTGGGTCGCATGGCCAGCAGGTTGATTGACAACACAGCAAGTTGGCTGGATACTAGCACAGCAAGTTGGTTAGTTGATAGTGCAGCAAGTAGGTTTTCTGATAGCACCGCATGTATGTGAGCAGATAGTACAGCATGTCGGTTGTCTTACGGCTTTTACGTCGGAGGAAGAAGGTTGTAAAAACTAATTGAATAGCATTATTGGCCAATCGCCCAAATGCAGGACCCTCTTTAAATTGAGCCACGCCACTCGGATAATCTTTCCGCGGTAGTTAAAGGACACGTCCATACATATATACACACACACACACACGTTTCCGATTAGCACGGTCGGCAGATATGGTGCCAAAGAAGTTCAACATACGTACACACAAACACGGGGCTAGATTTGTCTGTGATCGGCGCACTCACCCAAAAATTTTAATGTTTGCGAGTTAAAGTCTAGGTTGACAGTCGACCTGGCCTGAGAGGTCAATAGAATTAGAGAGGTTAATTTCATCGCGGGGAAGTCTACAGTGCTCCTGGTATAAACCGACTGGCCCCTTGCCATAGGAACGTGGAATCGCTACCACTGAGGATGGCCGAAGGAGGTGACCGCCCATCGGCGTGAGTGTGACCAGCTGTTTAGCGGTTGTTATTTAACAACCGTGGATTTGCGGGCAGGGTGGCGCAGTGGTAACACTCGTGCCCCCACAGCGACAAGTTCCAGGGCTCGGTTCCCTGCTCGGGGCGCCTTTCTTCTTCGTGGGGCGTGTCAGGAGAACATGTTCTCTCCCTGTTCAGGCTTTCTCCCATAGCTGGTATTGACCGAACATCCCAATGCTGAAATACAAATTTACCTGCAAATCACTCACTTGAATTCGCATGCATAGCAGCAGCAACATTGCTCCCACCCCCCCCCCCCCCCCCCCTGAGTTTTTAGACTTTTCCAGGAGAAACAAACATGATAAAAAATAATCATGTAATCAATCATTAATCATGATCTCGATAAATCATGATGGTTACCTCACATGCTCAAGGCGTGTCCCGAATCCAATTTTAATGAGAACAACAACAAAAAACGACTCTTTGATGACTCAGTCTTGAGACACGGCGAGGCTTTCCTTAATTCTATGCATGCGCATGACGGCAGCAATCGGGTTCGCGAGCTTAGTGCCAACGTGAAGCTGTGCTAGCCACGACAACAGGGCTTCAGCGGTAGAGAGTTTGTGTCGTTTGCCAATTCCTCCGTTGTAGGAGCGCAGACTACAGCAGTTGACTTGTGTGGCCACACGCGCGCCAGTTGTAGTAGGAGTAGTAAAAATAATGATGGGTGCGTCTCGTTCCCCCGTTGTGGTGCCGCGCAGCTGAAGAACGCCAGCGTGCTGCTCGAGTTTGAAAACATGGCAGAGAAGGCGTTCGAGAAGAAGGACTACAGGAAGGTGAGCGTCGGCTGTGAGTGCGTCGTTAATTGCGTTGCAGTCGTCATCGCCGTCGTCGTCACCATCATCATTGTAACCGTCACCATCACCGTCCGGGCGCTAGTGGCTATGCTGCACTCGTGTAACCCGGCGCTGTGGAAGCGAGGGTTGGCGGTTCACACATGTTTGCGATGGTGGTGATGCTGGTGGTGGTGATGATGGTGGTTATGGTGATGTTCATGAGGTCATGATGCCGACACTACTGAGGCTGCTGCTGACGATAATGACGATGACGGTGGTAATGTTGACGGTAATGACGATGGCGATGCTGATACCTGTGGCGATGGCTGTGATGTTGATATTGCCGAGGTGGATGCAGATGGTGACGATGCTACCGATGTTGATGGCGCCGTTGCCGACTGGTGACGATGGCGCTGACGATGTTGGTGGCGATGACCGTGGTGCCGATTGTTGCCGTGTGCGCTCCCCCCACTGCTCCCAGGTGGTGTACTGCATGGAGAGGGCGCTGGCCTACGCCATCGCCTGCCCCAAGCTCAAGATCAAGAAGGCCGAGTGCCTCGCCCTGCTGGGGCGGTACGCAGAGGCGCAGTCGGTCGCCAGGTGAGCGCCAGTGCAAGGTTAGCACGAACCTTCACGTAGCACCAGCACTACCGTAGCACCAGCACCACCGTAGCACCAGCACCACCGTAGCACGAGCACTTGCGAAGGCACTAGCTTTACTCTAGCATGAGCACCAGCCGAGCACTAACCGCTTACTCAGCGACCACCTCTCGAACGCCAACGCGCTGTACGTGTGTGGCCTGTGCCTCTACTACTGTGTACCCATGTGTACCCGTATGTACCCTTGTGTACGTGTGTGTGTACGTGTGTGTGTACGTGTGTGCGTGTGTACACAGTGACGTGCTGTACACCGACTCCACGACCACCGACGCGCTGCACATGCGTGGCCTGTTCCTCTAATACTGTGTACATGTGTGTACATGTGTACGTGTGTGTGTGGTCTTCATAGGTGCTCGCGAACAGCACTTACCCCAACAGGCTGCTAAGGCTATACGGGGGGATCTTTGTCTTTGTTTTGTGTACACAGCGACGTGCTGCGCGCCGACCCCACGAACGCCGACGCGCTCTATGTGCGAGGCCTGTGCCTCTACTACGAGGACATGATCGACCGCGCGGTGCAGCACTTCGTGCAGGCGCTCAAGATGGAGCCGGACCACGAGATGGCGCGACTCACCTGCAAGGTGGGGGCCACTCGCACACGCACACACGCACACACACACACACGCTGCTTCCGCTTGTGTGCACGTACGTACGTGTGTATGCGTGAAGGTGCGGTCAACGTCATTGACGGTTATCTGAACCGGTCCTGGGGCCTCCCCGAGGTCGACTCAGCCTGATGCAGTGCGTCAACATCGCCACTGGGGAGACAAAGGGTCATGGTGCTTGCCACCCGCTCCCTCGTGTGCTGCGACAGCCTTCATAGGCACTGCTCGCCAATGGCACTTGCCCCGACAGTCTGTGAAGCTTATACGGGGAGATCTTTGTCTTTGTTGCATGAGAATGTGTGGCGGAGGCTCGTGAAAGACACTTACTGCTGCTGGGCAGTTGGAGGCAGGCACCTTCCAACAGCACCATAAGCATATTCTTAGGTTTTTTCAGTAAAGTCACGTAGGTAAAAAATTTAAATTTATAAAATAAAAATAAAATAAAAATCACCACGTTTCGGAGGCACAGCACGATTGCTGTATCATGTAGAGCAATCGTGCTGTGACGGTCCCACCTGCTTGTGTTGCCTCCGAATCGTCGTGATTTAAATTTTATTTTTATTTTACTTTTATTAATAAAAAAATTTTACCTACGTGACTTTACCGAAAAAACCTAAGAATATGAATCCTTGCAGTCACGAAAGCTTCAAATCTAGAAGCACCATAAGCCTCACTCCCCCCTCACTCCTGTCTCACCCACTCCCCACTACCGCCCTCCACCGCCCTGTGCGTGCAGAACGCTCGTTTGCTGAAGCAGCGCAAGGAGGACGGCAACCGAGCGTTCAAGGAGGGCCGGCTGGAGGAGGCGTGCCAGCTCTACTCGCAGGCGCTCACCATCGACCCCAACAACCGCCTCACCAACGCCAAGCTCTACTGCAACCGCGCCACCGTCGGCATCAAGGTACGGCGCCGGACGCTGTGCCGGTGGATGTGTTTGTGGTTTTGGTAATAGGGGTTATCGTGCCAGTGGTGGTGGTGATGGTGCTGGTTTATGTTTCTTTGTGTGTGAATCTCTGGTTCTTGGCAAATAGTTTCAGATGTGGACACGGTGGTGGTCTTGGTAGTAATTGTGGTCATGGTAGTAGTGGCTTTGGTGGTTGTGGTGGTCATTGTGGTTATAGTGGTGGTGGTGTGTTTGCGGTGTGGTGATGATAGTAGCATTATTGTTAGTGGCAGTAGAAGTGGTGGCAGTGGTGATGTTTGAGGTGTTTGTGGTCGTTGTAGTAGTGGTGGTGGTGTGGTAATAGCGGCGGTGCTGTTAATGGCAGTAGAACGGTGGTGGCAGTGGTGATTTTAGTAGTGGTCATACTTGTTGTGGTGACTGTTTGTGGTTGGGTGGTGGTGGCAGTGGTCACGATGCTAACATAAGTTGCGTCACCCGGTGCCACATGATACCGATTGGCCGAAAGGTCATGTCATTAAAGTTGCATCACTTCCTGCGATGTCACGAAACTTTCGGATCAATCCCAAAAAGCGTTTTTATTTCACAACAATACGAAATTTGATTGTGAGGTTAAAATCTAAAAATCGAGAACACACATCCATACTTTGTACTTTGTATTCGATTACCACTCACGGCCACCACCAGTGACGAAAATCCGAACCGTTCCTGGGCCTACCCTCGGTCGACTTAGCCTCAGATGAGTACTTGGTGCGGTGTGTATAAACATCGCAACTCTGGGAGACGAAGGCTGCCGGGCGTGGTGCTGGCCACCCGCCCCCTTGTGTCAAGTGCCGACCTTCAGAGGTGCTCGCTTTAAACAGCGTTGTGGGATGGCGGCGAGGGTGATGACTAACCTGGGGTGTGGTGTGGCGAACCCTGTGTCGACTATTGGCTATCCCGGAGGAGAGGGTGATTAGCCCTGGTGATACTAGGTGCTCGCTAACAGCACTCGCACCCAACAGTCTGTTCAGGCTATACCGGGTTGGGGGGGGGGGGTTCTTTGTGTGTTTCTGCCTGCGGATTCCTTCGATCGCGTCACATCTCCGAACACACCCGTGGTGGGGTGGGCTCCAGTTTTGGACTGGCTGACCCGGCTTGCAACGAAGCCCTCCCACGTGATGGCGCTGCCTACTCCCCCGCGCCGCTGTCGATTTCCGCGGCACTTGCCAAGTCGAATCGGAAATAAAATAACCCATTGATTTTTTTCTTGGGTTGGGTAACAATTTTTTTTTATAATTTGTTCACCGCCACGACACCCCGAGGATGCGCAGGGTGATGCAGTATTTGAATTTGAAAGGATTATTGTTGATTGTTGTTGATATTTTGTTGTTGTCGTCACGCAATGTTTTTTTTGTTCGAGGGGGGCGTTCATCCGTCCAGTGCGTGTGAGGGTCAGGAATGTTGCTTTGGGACAACACGGCCTCTGGTATATTTATTATAATAATTGAGCGCGTGCGATATTGGCGCTATCGTTCATACGGCGCAAGGCTGTCACCACGAAGGAAGGCGCTGCTGTGTGTCACAGGGAGGGTGGGCGATGTTTCTGTGTACGTATGTTGAACTTTTATCGCACCATATGTAGCCAACTGTGCTAATCGGAGGTGCGGGGGAAGGGTGCGATCCCAATTGAGTAATTTGCGGTGCAACCTTTTTTTGAATTCAGCAACCTCGGACCGTGACGGCGGCACACGAAGGACACCACCGGATCTGTCACGTCCGCTGCGAGTGAAGCAGATGGCGGTAGTATTGCCACGGCTATTACAGCCGCGGCAACCGTGGCGGTTCTTAATTTTGGGTGTACTAATCGTAATAGGTGTTCGCTCACGGAACCTGCCCCGGACACCCTGTTAAAGGTTCATACGGGGTGCAATGGGGGGGGGGGGGGGGGGATCTTCCTCTGTGTGGTGGTGCGGTAACGCCGCGCCTGCCGCTTCCTCCCTCCAGCTGCGCCGGATGGAGCAAGCGATTGAAGACTGCACGAACGCTATCCTCCTGGACGAGTCGTACGTGAAGGCCTACCACCGGCGGGCACAGTGGTGAGTGGCTGGGGGGCTGAGCGACTGGGTATCTGGGTGGCTAAGTTCAAGTTCATTTATTTGGTGTAGCCCTGTGAGACATTCGGCTCTTGAATCGGGTGCAACCGCAACAAACGAAAAACAAAAACATGAACAAGAAAACATCTTAAAGTGACTATGTGACTAAGTGCAAACAGAAAAGCCAGGGAAAAAAGACAGCAAAAATTCCAGAAAAAAGCACCGTACATCAACGCTGTGTGCAAAAATCCCAGTGGGATGCAAGTCAAACAGCAACAACAACCACAAGCCAACTTAGATTAAGGCCATCAGTCTAACTCCGTACTACAACAAACAAACATGGCCAAACCAAAAAACTTTTCCAAATCACCAAAATAAAGCCATAAAAGCAATGTAACAGTGATCATAGGAACTGTGACACAATTTTCACAATAAACGACATAAACAACATGTACTACCAAACCCTGCAGCCATAGCTGGCTGCATGAGTCACTCCACAAAATCAGGAGCATCAGTCAGAGTATCAAATTTTTCAATGCACCTTTAAGATCAGCACACTGAATCAAAACACAGATCATACTTTGCAGTGGTCATCCAGAGCGAAACATTTTATTTTATTTTAGGCCACTGAATAGCAGTGGCAGCTGCTATTCAGTGGGCTAAGTGGCTGGTTGGCTGAGCGGTTGGGTGGGTGAGTGACTGTCGCTGGGTGTCTGTGTGATGGGTAGCTGGGTGACTGAGTGACATGGTGACTTGTTGGCTGGGTGACTGAATCGCAGGGTGACTGGTTGGGTAGCTCAGTCGCTGAGTGGCTGGGTGGCTCAGGGACTGGGTAACTGGTTGGGTAGCTCAGTCGTTGAGTGGCTGGGTGGCTCAGGGACTGGGTGACTGGTTGGGTAGCTCAGTCGCTGAGTGGCTGGGTGGCTCAGGGACTGGGTGACTGGTTGGCGGAGCCGCTGGGTGGTTGAGTGACTGGCTGGGTGGTTGAGTGACTGTGGCTGGGTCGCTGAATGACGGTTAGCTGCGTGGCTGGGTGACTGGTTGGGTAGCTCAGTGGCCGAGGGGCTGGGTGGCTGGTTGGCTAAGCAGCTGAGTGAGTTAGTGACGGTGGCTGGGTGGCTGAGTGACGGGTAGCTAGGTAGCTGGATGGCTGAGTGCCTGGGTAAGCAAGGTGGGTGAGTGGGTGGTTTATGATGAAGACGAGGAGGATGAAGGGCACTCAGAAACGAGCGTCAGCTTGTCTGTTCACGCTTGCTCAACGATCGGCGGCGTCGTCTCTCTCTTCTCCGCGCGTGCAGTTACCGAGACACAGAGCAGTACGAGGAGGCGGTGAAGGACTTCGAGAAAATCTTCAGCATGGAGAAGACGAGAGGTGAGGAGGAGGCCTTTCGAGGTGTGGGTCGAGTGGCCCACGCGATGTTCCGTGCTCCTCGAGCCGTAGCCCTGAAACTGGCTTATCGGCACCGACCAGGGTGGCAGATGCAAACGGTGATTTTCTTGCAGTGGTTTGTCTCCCGATGGCAAGGGTTTACGATAGCAAGGTCTCCGTGATAGCTTTATATGATAAAATCGTCATCGAGTGGGTACTGTAGTATGTTTGGTAGGCCATGGGGAAATCGTAATCTGAGTTGGATATGCAGCTGATGGTTTCAGACCACAGTGCATATTGGAGATTCAGACTAATGCAGAGATCCATAGACTTGCTCAGAGACCCATAGACTCGCGCAGAGACCCGTAGACTTACACAGAGACCAGAGACCTGTAGACTCGCACGGAGACCCGTAGACTCGCGCAGAGACCCGTAGACTCGCGCAGAGACCCGTAGACTCGCGCAGAGACCCGTAGACTCGCGCAGAGACCCGTAGACTCGCACGGAGACCCGTAGACTCACACGGAGACCCGTAGACTCTCAGAGAGACACATAGACTCGCACAAAGACCTATAGACTCACACAGAGACACGTGGACTCGCTCACCGCGTGATTTTGCCGTTGTTCGTCATCGCCACCGCCGCCGCCGCTGCTGTTGTGATGGATGCGCAGAGAACAAGCAGCTGCTGCACGAAGCGAAGCTGGCGCTGAAGAAGAGCAAGAGGAAGGACTACTACAAGGTGCTGGGCGTGGACCGCAGCGCGTCGGACGACGAGATCAAGAAGGCCTACCGCAAGCGCGCACTCATGCACCACCCGGGTGAGCGTTGGAGTGGGGGGTGTGGCGCGTGGGCTGGTGGGAGATGTTAACTACCTCGCCCGGTATGCAGGAGCGCGTGGGTTCGATCCCGACTCTGACGACGCCTGCTGCTGTATATTTGGAGTTGGGTGTCTTTCTCGCGTGGCCCGTGGTCACGTGGTTTTTCTCCAAGTCCTCCGGCTATTCTCCACGTTTAGAACCAACGTTTCGAGTATTTTGCTGCTGTGAATGTCCACGTGACAACGATAATCCACTTTGTTTGAGCTGCTGTCATTTGTGATGGCCCGGTCGCTTCTGAAAAAGAGCTACACAGCTCGGTGGGGGTAAAATAAAAATAGTTTGATTTTACAAGTGGGGAGGCAGCAGGAGAACGCGGGTCGTGTGGAAATGACAAATGTTAACACGTGGTGGTAGGGGGGGAGTAATGTTAATGACACAGGTGAACACACGGGGGTCATGCAAGCCACAGGGGTCACGTGAATGACGTAGGTGTGAACACGCGAGAGGGGCGGGCAGGTGAGCACGGGTCGTGTGGATGACGGTGCGATGCGGTGGGTGGTAATGTTAATGGCAGCTGAACACGTGGGGGGTCATGCGAACACGGGGGTCATGTGAGTGACATAGGTGTAAACACACGGGGGTCGTGAATGCGCGGGTGGGGGGGGGCGTGTTAACGGCACAAGTGAACATGCAGAGGTCATGTGGTAATGGCGGGTGGTCACCCGTGCTTGTGCTTGAGAAGGATGTCTTTTGTTGGACAGACGCTGCAGCTCAGGGGCTGGACGCTAGAGGGCGACATGTGACACACGAAAGCACGCCGTCGCAGTTTCTCACTTGGCGTTAAACGTGGCGTAGCTACACGTTCAATATCGATCCACCGCTGGGTAAAGGCCTCTCTCTACGCAGTGATGGTCGTGGCTTTCAGTTTGACCGTACTTCACAGCCCGTTCACTGCGGGCCGGCGAAGGCGGTGGAGCGTAGCTGTTGGGGACCCGCGCAGAGCGGCAGTAGATTTACCTTACAGGGACTCCAATTTTCTGGTTTTAAGAAAAGTATCCTCCCCATAGAGGTTGGTCAGTTTAATACGTAGGCTTTCGCGACCGATGATGCTGGATGCAATTACCAGCGAAACGTCGTACTCAAATTGTAAATGTTGTGGTTTCACGCTTCAACACACCGGTGGGCTAAAGCAGTGAACTATTTGTCTTTTGTCAACGTGACACTTTTTTACTGATTGGTCGTGTCGGGTGGTGGAGGGTTACGACACAATTATAAATAACGTGAACTAAACCCAAAAACGTTGATTATGAATTACAGGGACTCCTCTACGTGTTAGTGTACACGCCGCACAACACTTTTGGAATCGACGGGAGAAAAGTTGTACTTACGAACAAATTGACTTATGAACGGAGCTCTGCAACCGAACGGAGCTCTGCAACCGTTCATAAGTAGAGGAGTCCCCGTGTAGCCTTTTCCCGGGCTGTTGGTGCAAGTGCCGTTCGCGAACGGCACCTATGAAGGCCGGCACGGCACGACACCCGGCCGCTTCTGTCTCCCGACGTTCACACATCGCACCAGGGGAGGCCAAAGATGAGATATTCACCGCTATTTTTGGTCAGGTGCGGAAAATGAACCCGTGTTGCCGGGTTCGTAGCGCGACGCGCTAACCACTGCGCCGCCGCTCTCCCCCAACTCCGCTAGGCAATGTAGCGGCGCACCTGTGTTGCGTTTCACCTCCTACGCCCTCATCAGATTGACCCAACGCGTTCTCGTTTTACTGTCGTCGTCGTGTAACGAAACGACGATGTGGACGATGGTTTGTGATGTATCGTCGCGGGATCGAAACGCACAAAACGATAATCTATTACGGTCATCATCATTGTATTGAATAAATCGGGCATCGTTGAACCTGTGTAACCGACCGACTGAACGATCGACTGACTGACTGACTGACTGTCTAACTGACCGCCCCACTTGACCGCCCGACTGACCGGGTCACGTGCCCTTCCGCAGACCGGCACAGCAGCGTGAGCCCGGACATGCAGAAGGAGGAGGAGAAGAAGTTCAAGGAGGTGGGCGAGGCGTTCTCCGTGCTCTCCGACCCCAAGAAGAGGGCACGCTTCGACAGCGGCCAGGACCTCGAAGAGGACGGCTCAGGCTTCAACGGTCAGCGGGGGGGGGGGGGGTGACCAGCCCAGAGGGGGGGGGGGGGTGATGACTAACCCTAGGGGTGGTGTGACTAACCCTGTGGACTATTGGCTATCTCAGAGGAGAGGGTGAAACTAGGTGCTCGCTAACAGCACTCGCACCCAAACGGTCTGTCACGGCTGTACGGGGGATCTTTGTCTCTGTATGTATGTGTGTATGTATTCGTGTGTCAGTGTGTGTGTGTGTATTCGTGTGTCAGTGTGTGTGTGTGGGGGGAGCGGTGGGTGTAGTGGTTAGCGCGCTGCGCTATGAACCCGGCGACCCGAGTTCGATTCCCGCTCACGGCCACCACCAGTGACGATTATTTGAACCGGTCCTGAGCTTCCCCGAGGTCGACTCAGCCTCAAATGCGTACCCAGTGTGATGTGTAAACATCGCTACTGGGGAGACGAAGGCGGCCGGGCATGGTGCTGGCCACCCTCGTTTACTGTACCGGCCTTCGTAGGTGCTCGCTAACAGCAATTTCTCCCAACAGTCTGTTAAGGCTTCACAGCGGGGGATCTTTGTGATGTGTGTGTGTGTACACAACACACACGCGCACACCCACTGCCGTGCGGTATAGGTTAATGGAGCCGAGTGCCTAACGCCTGCCCCCTGATTTCCCTCTCTCTTGGTTCAGATCTTGACGCCAACAACATTTTCCGTACCTTCTTTGGGCCTGGAGGTGGCTTCACTTTTGAAAGTGAGTCGGTTCAACTTTCGTCTCGTACTACCCCCCCCTCCCCCTCCGCTAATAACCGCGGCCGTGGTGGCGCATTGAAGGCGTGGGGCGCCGATCGAGGATTCCCATTTCAATCAGGGCTTTGAACAATAGATGATGACGGTGTATAATTTTTAATGCGCGCGCACCTTCAGAGAGAGAACGGCTCGGAGGGTCACCCCACAGGCGAGCGGGGGACGGCGGGCAGAACCGGCGCCGGCAAGCGCCACAAGCTCTTGTCATCCTACATTGGGATGTTTTGGCCAACTCCGTTATCGTTGAGCGTTGGTGCACGTGGGCGGAAACTTCGCAGTACCCGGAGGAAACCCCCCGCGCGCGTGCGAGGGGGAGGGGGGGTGGTGGTGCTCACTCCGCCGTACGTATGGAATGCACCATGGGAATTATCCCGCTTGCTGTTCTGCCATACGCCCCCCGAAAGTGGATGGGCTGAAATAGTTAACATCAACCAAGGAAAGAAGAAGAAGTGAGAAAGACGTTTAAAAATAACTGAAGGAGATAAAGCGATTTTGAACGGATACATTTTTAGTCCATGAGCCCAGAGCAGACATCTGGCTTTACCTCCTGAGGAAGCGTTGCTCGCGTGAGGTAATCGGACAATTCACCTTTGATCCGCCGCCTCCGTTGGAACCGATTCCTCGTGAGCGCTTCGCGATCCGCCAACCTTCGGCCCCTGCACGGCGGCCGCGAATTACCTCGCCACACGCGCCGCCGCCAGCGTGTGGCCGCCAGCGTGTGGCCACCAGCGTGTGGCCACCAGCGTGTGGCCGCCAGCGTGTGGCCGCCAGCGTGTGGCCACCAGCGTGTGGCCGCCAGCGTGTGGCCGCCAGCGTCCGGCTACGGCGCCTTGGGGACTCTCCTCCCGACCGTCCCAACGCCACCCAGTTCCCGTGCAGCTGCCTCTGTGTGGCAAAAATGGGGGGGGGGGGGGGGGGGGAGTTAGTCTGCCTGTAGGGGAGCATTTTCGCTCTGTGGATTTGGCAAATGAAGTGGCTTGCGGTGTAATTTGGCAAAATGCAGAGGATGGGCGCTGGGCTGCAGGGGTGAGCCAGGAGGGATGTGGCAGTACAGCAAGTGGGATCGTGAGACCGTCCGTCCGTGCTGATCTTTTGAGTGTGCGTGCTGGGTTTTCGCCCCGGTCTATCCGTTTTTTTTTCTCCCACGGGAAGAGAGGTGATGAGTTAGGTGCGTGTGTGTGCATGCGTGTACTCTGCGGAGCGGTACTGTTATGGTTGGCGCGCGCTGAGCTACGAACCCGACGACCAGAGTACGATTCTCGATCGCGGCCAACACCAGTGACGATGATCTGGTGTGACGTGTAAACGTCCACCACTGGGGAGACAAAGGCGGCTGGGCGTGGTGCTGGCCACCCACCCCCCTCGTGTGCCGTGCCTGCCTTCACAGGTGCTTCCTAACAGCACTTGCCCCAACAGTCTGTTAATGTGTAATTTGCTCAGATGCATTTGCATTTAACTTTTCTTAAACGTTGTAGTTGTAAGGGTCGTTGACCAGTCTGGGCTGTAAAGGGAAATTATATATTCGAGGCAATGTTTTTGTGCAGTGGCCCTTCCTGGACATTTCTGCTCTGCAGAAGGGTCATGGTTCGAAACGTCCACCTCCAATATATTTATTTCCTTTTAAAAGCACACGGTGTTATTGACGGTGTGCTTTTATTGGGAGGTGGTGTTAATTTGTGCTTGTGCTCCGATGCCAATGCGGTGTCACCAGTTGATCGCTCGTTGTTCCCGAGTGAGCAGCGAGTAATTCTAATTTGTTGCGCGTGTGTGTCTGTGTCTTTGTGTGTGTTTGTGCGTGTGTGTGTCTGCTCTCATGTGTCTACTTTCTATGTGCGGCTTTTTGGGGGTGTGTGTGTGTGCGCGTCTGTGTGCACGGGTATGGCTTCGTGCTTATGTGTGCGTACGTGTGTGTATGTGTGCGTTTATCTGCCAGGCCAAGCTCCCGGAAATTTTTTCTTCCAGTTCGGGTAGTGCTGGCTGCCGTGTCAGCCTCACCCCTACCATCATCGCAAGCGTTCCCAAGCCATCACCACCACCACCGTCTCCTCCGCCACTGTCGTCACCACCGTCACCACCAACCGCGACGCTCACAAACCAGCTTCTGTAACATACGACCCCACCACCACGTGCTGCCAAACCCGGACTCCAGCTCTCCCTACGCCGCCACGTGTAAAAATCACCCCCCAGTCGCCGGGGTGAGTGGGCGGGTGGGTGGGTAGGCGAGTGGGTGGGTTGATGAGTGGGCGGGCGGGCGGGCGAGTGGGCAATTGCAGAGAGCGGAATCCAAACCATCTAGGCGGGACGAGTAAACGCGTCTGGACGCGTCCATCCCCCCCACACCACATACGAGTGCTGCCCTTGCTCAAAGGCAGCAGCAGGAGCGGCCAAACCGAACCGCCCCTCCCCAGCCAGCCAGCCGCTGCTCGCTTAATCAAAACGTGCAACCGGCCTGGGTGGACCACGCAAAGTGGCGGGCACGCAGAGAGAGAGAGAGATGAGAGAGAGAATGTCCGGCTATCCGGAGTAACCAGGATGAAAACCACCATCCTATAAATTCATCGGGGAGGGGGGGAGGGGGGGCAGGGAGGGGGGGCAGGGAGGGAGGAGGGGTTTAAGTTTCGGTATTATTTTGCGAGGTCGCCCGCGTGTGAGATGGCGGCTTTGTTAGTTATTATCATGGCTGTCGCCGCCCAATAAAATTAAATAAAGTTGGTGTTGTTGCCCGTTACCCGTTAGTAGCGCGTCGTCGGTCGCACTCTTCTTCACGGCTGTGAACGTTTCACCGGGAGACACTGCCACCGCCACTCGCGGCCGCCACTCCATGGCCGCCGTTCACCATGGCCACCGTTCGGCTCTCGTCTTACGGCACGAGCCAGGGTTTCACCGATAGCTCTGTTCGTTCCCCTCCATCGCAACCCCCTGCACAACCGCTAGCGTCTCTTCGAGCAATTGTCCAGCAGTGCCCCCCCCCCGTCAACCCCAGCCCCCACGCCCACCCACCTGCCCCCACGCCCACCCACCTGCCCCCCCACCATGAAGAGCCACCCCACCCCCACAGCGCCCTCAAGCCCCTCGCTTGTCAGAATGTCGTGAGCGTCCGTGTGCAGCAGCGTCCGGGCTACGATGCTTCTCAACCGCTGCGGTTTGCTGGCCTACGTAAAAGGATCCTGCGTTTCAACGATGAGTCGTTCTTGCGTGCGTGTGTGCGTGCGTGCGTGTGTGCGTGCGTGTGTGCGTGCGTGCGTGTGTGCGGTTCTTGCGCCGCTGCGCTGTGAACCCAACGAGCCCCGAGTTCGATTCCCGCTCGCGTCCAATGAACCTTGGGGCAGACATTTGACTTTGGCCCTGTGCCTCCCCCTGGCGGTGTGTAGCCAGCGTCGGGATACCGGGAAGACGCGAGGCGGCCCCGCGTGGCGGCCCGGCGTGACGGCGTTGGCCAACCCGACCCCTGCGCGTGACGTGCCCGCCGCCGCCGTAAGCGCCTGCCCCGCACAGCCTGTCGAAGGCTGTGACGGGAACTTTGAGCGCGTGTGTCCGCGTCGCGCGCGTGAACGTTACCGACGACGTGTTGGCGACGAACAGGGCGGCTGGGTGGGCGCGTAGCTGCGACATTGGCCACCCAAGTCCCGCTGTGCGTGGGCCTTGGTAGAATCTGAGGGGGAATACGATGAGAGCTACCAAGCTCCAGCTGGGGCACGGGGTCAGAACGTTACAGCAACAAACAGAACGAAGACACGACAGGAATGCAAAGTACAATCATTTTTAACAAATCGCTTTAAAAGAAATGTGTGCGCACTAGCAGCACTTGCCCTGACAGGCCACGAAGGCTGCATTTGCCTTTGTACCGTCAGTGGTCTACGCGGGGAGTGCGGATGCCGCTCATTGTACACACGCGCCCCCCTCCGCTACTCACGAGCAAAGTGCCATTCTTGGCTGCGCACGTCGGTGGTATCTTTCAGCTGGTGTGGGCTTCCTCTAGGTTGGCTCGGTGTGAAATGAGTATCCTAAGCAGCGTTGCGCGGCTATCATTGCCACGGAGAGGAGAGAGGTGCTGGCCTTAATAGGCGCTCGCTAATGGCGCTGAACCCACTTGAATCTACAGCTGTATGTAGGATAATTGTTTAGTCTGCTACATGCCCCAGGTACCTGCCCTAGGTACCTGCCCCAGGTCCATGCCCCAGGTCCATGCCCCAGGTACATGCCCCAGGTACATGCCCCAGGTACATGCCCCAGGCACATGCCCCAGGCACATGCCCCAGGTACATGCCCCAGGTACATGCCCCAGGCACATGCCCCAGGCACATGCCCCAGGCACATGCCCCAGGCACATGCCCCAGGCACATGCCCCAGGCACATGCCCCAGGTACCTGCCCCAGGTACCTGCCCCAGGTACATGCCCCAGGTACATGCCCCAGGTACCTGCCCCAGGTACATGCCCCAGGTACATGCCCCAGGCACATGCCCCAGGCACATGCCCCAGGCACATGCCCCAGGTACCTGCCCCAGGCACATGCCCCAGGCACATGCCCCAGGCACATGCCCCAGGTACCTGCCCCAGGCACATGCCTCAGGCACATGCCCCAGGTACATGCCCCAGGTACATGCCCCAGGCACCTGCCCCAGGTACATGCCCCAGGTACATGCCCCAGGCACATGCCCCAGGCACATGCCCCAGGCACATGCCCCAGGTACCTGCCCCAGGTACCTGCCCCAGGTACATGCCCCAGGTACATGCCCCAGGCACATGCCCCAGGCACATGCCCCAGGCACATGCCCCAGGCACATGCCCCAGGCACATGCCCCAGGTACATGCCCCAGGCACATGCCCTACCAAGATAAAGTCAGCAGATCGGACGTCCAGTGTAAGTGAATTCCACAGCCCGACGTTGGCCCTGAGCGGGAATCGTACTCTGGTCACCGGGTTCGTAGTACAGTGCCGCACTAACCGCCCTGCCACCGAATACACGCATGTACGCACGCATGTACGCTCACGTCACACGCGCGGGCACATGCTCGCTTCACACCGTATGGATTCTGCAGCTCGCGACCATGCGTGTATATAGATTGTGTATCTTATTGCATGTAAAAGTGTATTTATAGATGTATTATCATCCGTATTTATACCCGCGAGCTGAAAACAAAGAAAAATAAAATAACTTGGAGGAATTTTTTTTTTTAATATGAAAAAATATATATCCGAATCTGGGGGGTGGAGGGGAGGGGGTCACAAATGCGTTTGCTCGCGCGTGTGAACACCGGCCTGGCTGGAGGGGTCAATGTTCAACACCGGTGACCGCTAGAGATCGGACAGCAGTCAGTCGGTCTGCTGCTGCTGTTGATGTCGCCAATTTCAACAGCTGCCGATGCTGCAGCTGCCTTTGATGCTACCAGCGGTCTTGAGTCAGCCGACATGTGTCATGCTACACCTGATGTGGGTCATGCTACAGCCGACATGTGTCATGCTACAGCTGACACGTGTCGTGCTACAGCCGACGTGTCATGCTACAGCTGATGTGGGTCATGCTACAGCTGACATGTGTCATGCTACAGCTGACACGTGTCATGCTACTGTTGACGTGTCATGCTACAGCTGACGTGTGTGATGCTACAGCTGACACGTGTCATGCTACAGCTGACACGTGTCATGCTACTGTTGACGTGTCATGCTACAGCTGACGTGGGTCATGCCGCACCTGCACTGTTGGTGACGCTACAGCGGTGGCTGTCCCGCTGCGTTTGTCGTTGTTTCCGTCCCCTTTCTCGGCTTCTCTCTCAGCGTGTTCTCACGTTCGCAAGGAACGGCCCAAACTCGGGGGGTGAGGGGGGGGGAGTCTTCTAGCCGTCGGGCAAAGTGGCGATCCGTCGAAACGAAATCGATAGCGCCGTGCGCGCGACCCAATCGTGTCGCGCGCGAGCGGCCTGTGCGAGCGCCGTGATGAGGCCGCTGCGCTACGAACCCCGCGGCTCCGATTGTCGCTCGTTCCCGGTGAGCGACGCATCTTTGAAGCGTGGCTGAGGTTCTGCATCGAGCAGCGGGGGGGGGGGGGGGGGTCGTGGCGGATGTACGAGTCCGGCGCGCCTCTCCCCAGCGCCGACAGGCAACCCGCGTGGGATCGGGTCACGTTCTGGATCGGCGTTTAAGTGTCATCTCAAACAAGGGGATCGATCGGCGTTCTTCACTCATTTTCAGACTGGGGGGGGGGGGCCTGTCGCCGATAGGACATCAGTGTGAGGGCCGCTGAACCATTTGAACCCATCGGGGGGTTTGACAGGAGCTCGACGACGACGATGCGGGGATGTTGTCACCGTTTGTATGTTGTCGGGGGGGGGGGGGCGGGGGGTGCCAGTGACCCATGGCCCATGGGCCCTGCAGTGAAGAACTCTGGGATTAGATCGTGGCGACGATGATGGTGATGATGATCGCAGTGGGAGTCGCGCGGCCTACCTTGGTGCGCTGTGCGAGCGTCACGCCTCTGCATGTCGTTAAATCTCGTTGATTTGGTGGTCTAGACAAGGCTGAGAGCATTGCAACGCGGTGGTCGCACACCACGTGCGCAAGGCGGCGTGGTTGTTGTTGTTTCCGGTGTCCACGTCGCGACGTTTGCCCGGTTCCGCGCCCGCGATGGCTCTTGTGGTGGTGCGCACGGAGCGGAAGGAGGATTTGGTTAGAGCGATCTCGACCCCCTCGTACCCTCGCGTCGCGCTTTCTGGTTTGGGCCGTTCCTTAAAGTGAGCAGTAGGTGTACGTGTGCATGTATGTGCGTGCGTGTGTACGTGTGTGTGTGCGTGTAGATGTGTACGTGCCACTAAGAGGTGGGGCCTTACCATCAGCCCCACCAAAACTAAGCACCTGCCTGGGTATTTTGTACCATCGGACACTCCACTCCCACAACTCCCAATCGGTGATGGGGCAGTTGTGGAGAGAGTGGAGAGTTTCCCATACCTGGGCAGTGTGCTTATGACCGGCTCCAATTTATCAGTAGAGGTCTCACTCCGAATCAGTCGAGCGGCAATATATTTTCATCGGTTGCGTAACGCTGTGTGGAAGCTACCTGGTCTGTCGCTCCGCACGAAGCTTCAGGTCTTCTCGGCCACGGTCATTCTCTCCCTTCGCTACGCTTGCGAAACGTGGACCCCCCTAATGAAGCATCTTCGCCAGTTGGAAACATTTAGGCTGGCCTGCCTACGATCCATCCTGGGTTTAACCAGGCT